CGACAGCAGTACGACGAAAACGATTAATGGTAACAATCCCCTTATAAGAATATAAGAACATAAGAATGGAGGAAACTGCAGCGGGCCTGTTAGCCCATACTGGGCAGTCCCATTTACACCCAACCCCTATTGTTCATATAAGCATCCAACCTATGTTTGAAGCTATCCAGCGCATTCGATTTATAGTGGCGATAATATTTGAATTTTTTGTTATTGAAGAAAATAATTTTGTGAGAGTGAGCTCAGCCACTCTTAGTGTAGCTTGGCTCACCAACACGCGTCACTCGAGGGACGAGTGTGTGCGTGTGGGTGTGGATGTGTGTGTATCCAGTGACGAGAAGTGCAGTGCAACGTCCGTATACTTTTCGCATCGATAATAGTTAAACCTTGTTAGTCCAGAAAATAGTCTTGTCTGAGTGATCTTCATCACTCCCAGTGTAGTGCATATGAGAATGAAAACACATGTCATTATTGTTGTCTGACGTAAGTGCAGAACACAATTAGCAGTCATAATTGACTGAAGTGATATTGCTTTGTAAATAACCCAAATATCAATGTAAAGTTTGTAATGATATCAGGTGCGAGTGTGAGACAAGGCACACGAACGAGCCCTGATTTAAGAGTGGTGGAAACGAACGCAATTCAAATTACCTGAATAAGCAAGATGTCGGAGATTGGGTATATTGATGACATGGAAGGAGAGTCGGACCTAGATGGAAGCAAACATTTTGACCTAATGACAATGGATCCGCCCGCCGAGGTACAATCAGAGAGTGGTGAAACAGGAAATGAGCTTGCAATACCAGGAGATCCACGGGAAGGTCACAGTAGGGAATTGGGTTATCAACAAGCAGTGGCCAGAGCTGAGGCAGCGTCGGATGAAGTAAATCGAGCCCTGCGAGAGCTTAAGGCAGGGTGGATGAAAATGATGCACACTGGAATGGTGGCGGGTCAAGAGACATCAGCACTAACACGAAGAAGTGACAGCTCACAGCCTTCGACAGAAAACTCCAGCAATTATGAGAAGCCAATAGTACGGGAAGAAACCCAGCAACAGGCATCGGTCAATGTCGAGAAAATGGCATCGTCTTTACCGCCAATGCTTGCAAACAAAGCACCTCAAGCCACAATTATGCATCCACAGAGAGAATCAGGGAAGGGTGAAGAAATAAGAGAGTTAGTGGCTACGATGCGCATGCCGCAAGCCACCCTTCCCAAGTTTAAAGGACAAGGGCGGGCGGAGTTTTGGACCTTTATGCATGCCTTCCGTCGATACATGACAAATGCGGCCGTGCCAGAGAAGTACAAGTACCAACTGCTCATGGATGCTTGTGAAGGAGAAGAGTTACAACAAGCAATCATGGGATGCTACTATCTAGAGCCAGACAGAGCCTACAACAAGGCAATAAAGATCCTGAAGGCAAGGTTTGGAGATAAGTATGCATATGCGGACCAGCTGGTGAAAAGGCTCATAGACGCCCGCTCAGTGGGGGCGTTCGATGACGAAGGGCTGCGAAAACTGGCATCTCAGCTATGGGGTGCAGTAAGCCATCTGGAGAATCTGAACTTGATGTCTGAACTTGAATCAAAGCAGACCTTCAGAACGCTGGTGACTAAGCTTCCCCCCAAATTAAGGGAACGCTGTGTGGATGATGTGCGGAATTATCAGAAGTCGACAGGACGCAGAACAGGGCTGGTGAAGTGGTTAGCGCTATATTTGGAGGAGAAAGCGGTGGATGACATGGCTCTGCTATCAAGCGAGGACAGTCAAGAAGGAAGTAAGAAAAGACCAGAAGGATCATCGTCAAGCAAACGTGCCGTGGGCCTAGTGACTATCAGTGAAGCGAAAGGCAATGGAGGAGAAACAAGCTCTGAAAAAGGCTCGTGCCCAGTGTGTTCCAGAGCACATGGATTAGCAGGGTGCGACAAATTGCTGAGCATGTCAGTGAGGGAGAGGTTAGAGAGGGTAAAAAGATTACATTGCTGTTTCTTGTGTCTGAGAGTGGGCCACCTTGTTGCTGAGTGTTGGTCACGCTTCAGGTGTGGCACTGATGGGTGCAAAGAGAAGCATTCTAGACTGTTGCATCAAGAACGAAGGGAGGCACTTACTGCAAGTATGTCAAACACACGCAAGGGTGGCGTAAAGCAAAATTTTCGAGGTCTCGTGAAACAGGAGTCAATGGCAGGCACCTTTGATGGTGGCATGGCCCAGAAAGCCAACGACAGTTCGTTCATGGCCGGAAAAATAGGCCATGTCTATGCTACAGGGACAAAGGACGGACATGAAAACCCATACAGCTGCGAAAGTGACATCTGACTATCGACGAAAAATGCCAAGATTGTACTGCCCATAGTGAGTGTGAAGATTCGGGGAAAGGACTCACACCAACGAAATCACATCAGAACTTTAGCTCTCTTGGACTCAGGCAGCGACAGGTCGTATTGCACCAAATATCTGGCACAGAAACTAAGGGTGAAAGGGACACCTACCCTGGTAACCATGGGTACACTTGTCCAAGAGATGATACTCGAGTCAGCGGAGGTAGATCTAGAAGTGGTTGGCGCAGGCATGAAACGAGGCAGAACCATACTTATCCCGAAAGTACTCATTATACAAAATTTCCCCACAATGCTGCCCAACTCCGTAGCGAACACAAGTGATATATCAAGGTGGACCCATCTGCGAGGTGTGGAATTACCAGAATTGCAGAGCAACAGCATAGAAATTCTGATAGGACAAGATGTGCCACAGGCCCTGGTACCCTTGGAGGTCAGAGCAGGAAGGGATGGAATGCCATTCGCCATAAAAACGCGACTGGGTTGGACAGTAAATGGACCGGTGGGGCACCAAGACGCACAAGGAGTTTGCATGTCAGGATGCCTGATGACCGAAACTGTCGTAAGTCCTGAAACCCGTCTGGAAAGACAAGTTAAGCTTTTTTGGGGAGCTGGAAAGTGGGGACACAGGAGCCTTGCAGTCAGCAGCTCATTCACTTGAGGACAAAAGAGTGTTGAGGCTATGGTCAGAGACAGGCATCAAAACTAATGGTCATTACCAATTTCCCATACCGTTCCGTAATGAGAAAACGGAACTCCCAAACAACAAGGCCGTGGCGGAGCGTCGACGAGATGGGCTTCGAAGGAGACTATCCAAGGACACACGGCTGCGACAAGGATACGTAGAGGAAATAAATAAACTGGTTGCTGAAGGATATGCTGAATCAGTGCCTAAGTGCCAGTTGGAGTCAGATACTGGACTGGTCTGGTATCTGCCTCATCACCCGGTGTTGAACCCAAATAAGCCAAACAAAGTACGCATAGTTTTTGACTGTGCAGCCAAACACAAAAGGACATTGCTGAACGACCAGGTACTACAAGGTCCAGACTTCAACAACAAATTACTTGGAGTCCTGTTTAGGTTTCGCCAAGGAACTACAGCCATCATGGCAGATGTGGAGGCTATGTACCATCAAATCCATGTAGCGCCAGAACATCGAGATGCGTTAAGATTCCTCTGGTGGGAGAATGGGGACCTGAGTAGAGAGCCAGTAACTTACAGGATGAAGGTGCACATCTTTGGTGGGGTGTGGAGCCCTTCCTGTGCAACTTACGCTCTCCGGCGCACATTTCAAGACCACAGATCCGAGTTTCCCGACATGGTGGCGCAAGCGGAAGTCAACTTCTACGTTGACGACCTGCTCATGTCGCTGGACTCGTCAAATAAAGCATCAATGTTAGCGTGTCAGCTTCGAAGACTGTTGGCGTGTGGAGGATTTCGGTTAACTAAGTGGGCCAGTAATCACAAAGGAGTGTTGGCTACCATCCCACCGGAGGAGAGGCAAAGTGCACTGAAGGAAATTGATCTGAGGCAAGACAAATTGCCAATGGAGCGAGCCCTAGGGGTTAGGTGGCTCCTGGAAGGTGATCAGCTCGCCAACAAGGTGCAATCAAACTCAAGGCCAGCGACCAGGAGAGGAGTACTAAGCCTGGTCAGTTCTATTTATGACCCACTGGGGTTCGTGGCCCCATTCATCATCAGGGCTAAAATATTATTTCAGTGTGAATGCAGGCGTTGATTAGGGTGGGACGAACCTTTGTCGGCTGTTAATCACACGACCTGGAGCACCTGGCTAGGAGAACTGGCCCACCTAGGGAAATTAAGTGTACCCAGATGCCTAAAAACAGCATGTGCTAAAGAAATCATCTCAGCACAGTTGCACACCTTCTGCGATGCATCGCAGGCTGCTTACGGTGCGGTGACCTATCTGAGAATGGTAGACTGGCGGAAGTATCCAGTGCTCTTTCGTGTACGGACGGGTCAAGCTGGCCCCACTCAAGCAACTGACAATGCCAAGGCTGGAACTTTGTGCAGCTGTCCAAGAGTGAACGCTGATCGAACGATTCGCCGAGAAATGACCATGACCATACACGAATCTTATTTTTGGACGGATAGCATGCTAGTCTTGCAGTACATCGCCAATTCGAGCAGACGATTTCAAACGTTTGTAGCCAACAAGATAGCAGTCATACAAGAGCTGTCAAGAACTGACCAGTGGAGACATGTCTGCACATCGCTGAACCCAGCAGATGATGCAACTAGGGGATTACCTGTCCTGGACCTAATTGCAGGATCTCAGTGGATACGAGGTCCTGACTTTCTACTCAGTGTTGAAGAACGGTGGCCAAAGGGAAAGGAACTGTCAGCAGTTCTGAACGACTTACTGGAGGTGAAACGAGAAGTACACCAGTGATCTGTAGTTGCTCTGGCAGTGAGCGAGCAGTCAAAGTGGTCCCTCGCCAAACTGTGGCTCAGGTACTCATCATGGTACCGCTTGGTGAAAGTGTTGGCATGGATTAAAAGGTTCATTTGGTGGCTTGGGTCCAGTATAAGGACCGCAGACCTGCGCCTCAAACTGAAGAGGCTAAACACTGAGGAACTACAGTCGGCTGAGCAGACAATTATAAGATTGGTGCAGAAAGAAGCTTTTGAGAAAGAAATCCAAACTGTCATAAAGGGTGAGCTGCCGAAGGACAATAAGCTATATAAACTGGAACCTTACTTGGACGAGCGAACGTTGCTCTAATCAAAGGGAAGAATTAAAGGAACCCTTCTTGGGCGAAGTGGTGAGGAGCCAATCTTGCTGCCTAGAGACCACCACATCACCGAAATCATAGTGCGGGAGATGCACAAAGAGAGAGCCGGACATGCCGGAGGAGAGCACACGATGGCATGTGTGAGAGGCAAAGGTATTGGATTCCCCAGGGCAGACGCTTCCTTGATAGAATCATATGACGCTGTGTAGTGTGCCGACGGAACAACTGGAGAAGTCGGCATCAAAGGCAAGCTGACTTACCAATAGATCGTGTCACTCCTGGAAAGGCTCTATTTGCTTACACTGGAACGGACTGCTTTGGTCCATCCATTATCAAGGTAGGGAGGAAACAGGTCAAGCGCTGGGAATGTCTGTTTACATGTCTAACTATTAGGGCTGTTCATCTAGAAGTCGTGGCCTCATTAGACGCAGATGCCTTCCTCAACGCAATAACAAGGTTCTCACGACGCAGAGGTACACCAGAGCGTATTAGGTCGGATAATGGGACAAACATGGTACGGGCAGCCAAAGAGCTCAAACTGGCAGTGAAAAGTTGGGAGCAAGATGACAGACTCAGAGGTGCCTTACTGAAAGCAGATATTGACTGGGTCTTCAATCCACCAGCTGCCCCATACATGGGGGGAGTGTGGGAAAGGCAGATTCGCACAGTAAAGAAGGTTCTGCAGGCGATTGTGGGCTCACAAGTTTTAGACGATGAACGTCTGCAAACACTGTTCTGTGAAGTGGAATCCATAGTTAACGAGAGGCCAATCACCCCGGTTCCAAACACGCCAAATGAACCAAAGGCTCTCACTCCTGCTGATCTTTTGCACTTAAGTCAAAAGGGTAATCTTCCCTTAGGTGGAAGGTCAATTGGCGAATCATACCACAGAAGGTGGAAGCATGTCCAGTACCTTGCAGATCAATTTAGGAAGCGCTGGCTGACAGAGTACCTCCCTCAACTCAGAACTCGACAAGTGCATTTCAGACAACGACGCAACTTTCGCCCTGGTGACCTAATCATTATAGCAGAAGCAAATAGTCCATGCAACAAATGGAAGTCAAGGCTGGCGAGGATGACTTGTACGACAGGCAGTGGTTAAGACGACGACGTCCACAATGTTGCGACCTGTGACAAAATTATGCTTGTTGGAGGGAGCAATGGAAAGGGCTGACGGCCAGAAGAATGAATTGGGTATCCACACATGAAGATGGTGATGTCCGAACGGCAAAGGACCGAGATGTCCTAAGGAGCTGATAAGTACCACCAGCCTGAGGGCAGCATGGTTACAAGAACGTGACAAAATTAAAGTTGAATACCACCAGCCTGAGCGCAGCATGGTCACAAGAACGTGACAAAATTAAAGTTGAATACCACCAGCCTGAGGGCAGCATAGTCACAAGAACGTGACAAAATTAAAGTTGAATACCATCAGCCTGAGGGCAGCATGGTCACAAGAACGTGACAAAGCATTAAGTATCAAAGGCCTGACATGGTTTTGAGCATGAACGCTCAACGGAGTGAGTGTTACCGCAAGCAGCAAACACATAAACAAACATTATGTTAGGCTGTAAGTCATGTCATGTTTATTGGGTGTGCCTGCCCGTATGCAGTATGTAGAGTCCGAAGATGGTGAAGATGAGAGGCCCAGAAGGAGGTTGGAGCATGTGAAGGGAGTTTGTTTATGTATAATTATAATCAACTGACTCAGCCATAGCTGACCAGCCAGGGGGCCAGGCAAAGGGTGAGCATTTCAGTATAGCTAACCATATCTTAGAGTCAACACCTACCCTGGCTTCTCTCTACACTTTCAACCCATAAGTTTAACTAGTACTTATTGTGTACACAGATAGACTGTGTCCATTGCATCATTTATCAGTGTGACAATATTGAAATATGGTAAATTGAGTACTCATTTTAAGTGTTAAGATTAGACTAATTACATAACCATGATTGTTATGTAAATATATATTGGATTAAACATTTATGTAGGAGGGCCTATGTATGACTTATTTGAAATACTAAATGAATTGTATTCAACAAGTTTGACCGAATTATAATGTTCGTGTACTACGTGAAGAGTCTAAATATCCTTTAACCGCCTGATTGGCGGTTATAGATGATATTTGGTAACTTGTTCCATTCATCCACTATGTTACCAAACCTGTGTTTACCTATTTCGCTCCAAAATCTAAATTTTTCTAATTTAAAACCATTGTTACGAGTTCGCTCCTGGTTGGATAGTTTGAGTACCTTTGTAATGTCCCCTTTGTTCAACCCTGACTTCCATTTATACACCTCTATCATATCGCCTCTTACTCTACGTCTCTCGAGGGAGTGCAAATTAAGATACTTTCACCTGTCTCTATACTCAAGGCTCCTAATGCCTGGGATTAGTCTTGTCATTCTCCTCTGAATTCTTTCCAATGATTCTATATCCATTTTGTAATACGGTGACCAGAACTGAACTGCGTAATCCAGGTGTGGTCTCACAAGAGCAAGATACAGTTTTAGGACGACCTCGCTAGTCTTGTAACTAACACTCCCTTGTATGAACCCAAGTACTTTATTAGCCTTGTTACAAGCAAAAACACATTGTTTACTTGGCTTAAGGTTCCTACTTATCATTACTCCTAAATCTCTCTCGCAGTCGGATTTCTCTATGGCATCGTTGTTCATCTGGTATCTGGTTTCCCTGTTTACATCTCCTATACTGAGTACTTTACATTTGTCCACGTTGAATTTCATCTGCCATTTTTCAGACCATTCGTAAAATTTGTTTAGATCTTCCTGTAGTTTTGCGGAGTCCTCGTCAGATTTAACAACACGTCCTATTTTAGTGTCATCAGCAAATTTACTTATGTTGCTGTCTATGCCGATATCTATGTCGTTTATGTATATAATAAATAATAATGGTCCAAGTACTGAGCCTTGGGGAACTCCACTTGTGACGTTGCTCCAATGTGACTTAGTGCCGTTAATGTTCACTCGCTGTTTCCTGTCCTGTAACCACGCCCTAATCCATTTAAGGATATTACCTTTGATGCCATGAGCTTCTACCTTTCTAATTAGTCTTTCATGGGGGACTCTGTCGAAGGCTTTGCTAAAGTCGAGATATACCACATCAAAATTGTGCCCCTCGTCCACCGATTCGAAAACTGATGAAAAGAATGTTAGTAGATTAGTTAGACAAGAACGCCCGCTTGTGAAGCCATGCTGGAAATCATTGATCAATTTGTGCTTCTCCAGGTGGTTTCGAATAGAGTTTGAAATGATTGCTTCCAGTAATTTGCATACAATTGATGTTAGACTGATTGGACGGTAGTTAGAGGATAGTGATCTATCCCCCTTCTTGAAAATCGGTATTACATTTGCTATCCTCCAGGATTCTGGTACTACACCTGTTTTTAAGGACATGTTAAACAACTTTGCTAAGGGCATACTAAGCTCTTCCTTACATTCCTTTAATAGTCTGGCAAATATCTCATCGGGACCAGGTGACTTATTAGGCTTTAGTTTGTCTATTTGCTTACTAACATCGTTACTAGTCACTACTATCTTGCTTAATTTGTTTTCTTCACTATCTCTGAATAGAGTCGGTGCCTCGGGTATCATGTTTAAATTTTCGGTGGTGAAAACTGTTGAAAAATATTTATTCAGATTATTGCTCATTTCTCTATCGTTATCAGTTAGCTCGCGGGTATCTGACTGTATTGGCCCAATCTTTTCTCGTGTTTTAGTTTGTTACACTTGATAGAATCCCTTGGGGGTTTGTCTTCGCCTCCCTTGCTATCCTCAGCTCATTATTCCTCTATGCTTTCCTTATCTTGGTCTTAACCCGACCGGCCAATACCCTATAATAATCCCGGAGGTAAATTTCGCCACGATTTATCTTCCTACCTATAGCCTTCCTTTGACCAATAGTGTTCTTTAAATAATTATTTATCCATTTAGGGTCATTGTTGTTTGAGCTGAGTTTTTTGTATAGTATGTTCTGCCTTTGTGCATTAAGTAACTCATTATTAAAATTGTCGTGGAACTCGGCAAACTCAGATCTCGTTATGAGGTCGGTTTCAACCTACAGGTCCATGTAGTTCAACCCCAAGAGTGATGCCCCTTCTCTCAACTGCCTCTTCAAACTATCAAAGTTTGCCCTTCCGAAATCTGGGACTTTTGTGGAATTTTCCTTACGGATGCCCTGAAAATCTAATTGGGATCTAATTTCTTTGTGATCGCTGTTTGCAAGTTCATTCCCTACCTCGACATTGCTAATGAGGTTTTCTCTGTTCGACAGAACTAAATCAAGTATATTATTACCCCGGGTGGGTTCGGTTATATGTTGACTTAGGAAACAGTCCTGGATCGTTTCAAGAAAATCCTCTGATTCTGAGTTACCCGTAAGGTCAATCCAATCTATTTGGCCAAAGTTAAAGTCGCCTACTATACAGACTTTGTTGTGTATGGAAGCCCTGTGCATTTCATCCCAGATATGTCGCTCCTGTGATTAATTTTTCCCTACCGTCGATTAATTCTATCCAAATTGTTTCTGTATTCCGCTCAGTTTTTATTTCCTTATTTATTTCACACTTTAGGTTATCCCTGACAATGATTGCTACTCCGCCTCCTTTCCTAATCTGCCTATCGGTATGGAATAATTTGTAACCTGCAATTTGGTATTCGACAGGTATCTCACGCGAGTCTAGGTTGATCCATGTTTCAGTGAATGCTATTATATCGATTTTTTCGGTACGTACCAAGGCCCTAATATCATCCATTTTGTTTCTCATACTTCTACTGTTCGCGTAGTAGACATTTAAGTCCTCCCTTTGCCGCGTTTAGGTTTTAACTCGCTGTCTACTTTAGTTTTGTCATCATTCCTAACACTATTTCCCTGTAACCTTTCACTTTGTTTACCCGCTCCCACTGCAGTCTCCTCCACCCCCGTGCTCACATGTTCCCCTCGCAGTTTAAAGACTTCGACATCTTTTAG